CAATGACACAGCATATCACTGGGTAAATGCAATTGCCATTTGTCAGCTGCACTTTCCTCATACTGTCACAGCGTGAAGCAAGTACTGCCGATAACCGGCAACTGTCAGAAAACAGATCGGCACTGATCATCAGGGCACTGATGATCAGTGCCCAGCAGTGCCATCCACCTGTGCACAGCAGAGCCACCCATCAGTGCTGCCCATCAGTGCCGCCAGTCAGTGCCCAGCAGTGCAGCCTATCAGTGCCCACCATTGCTGCATATCAGTGCAGCATTATCAGTTACAGATCAGTGCCGCCTATCAGTGCCACCTCATCAATACACATCAGTGAAGAAGAAAAATTACCTGTTTGCAAAATTTTATAATAAACAAATTTTGTTTATAGCGCAAAAAATTAAAACACCCAGTGGCGATTAAATACCACCAAAAGAAAGCACTATTTGTGTGAAAAAAGTGATACAAATTTCATATGGGTACAATGTTGCATGACCGTGCAATTGTCATTCAAAATGTGACAGCACTGAAAGCTGAAAATTGGCCTGAGAAGGAAGGGGGTATAAGTGCCCAGTAGGCAAGTGGTTAATCACTCTGGGACCCCCAAAACCCAGGTTGCTACATACCTCTCATATACACCACAACTGGTCTTTAAATGTGGGGGCAGGCTTTGGCTCCTAAAGCTCATTATTTTCATATCATATTCAGGTTTTGAGCGTCCCAAGGTATTAGAAGAAACTGAGAGATATCAGGAGCTTAAGAGTGCCTGATTTGTGCCCTAAAGGAAGAGTTCACCTTCAACAAAGAACTGCCTATGCAGGAGGTAAGGGGCATCTGTGGATAAAAACAAACTGTATGTCTCTGGCTAAACTTGAATAATGCTCTTGCTATAGGTGAAGGCCATTTATGTACTTCATGAAGCCTGACTGAATTACTCCCAGGATGTTGCTAAGTGAGGCCTAGTCATTACTGCTCACTGCCACCATCACAGGAATGAGCCTTTTCTCTGATTCAGACCCTCTCACATATTCTCTCTCCTGATGCATTAGCTCTGAGCTCAGCATCTGAAAGCTCACTCCTGTGATGGTGGAGGTGGGCAGTGATGACTAGGCCTCACTTAGCAACGTCCTGGAAACATTTCAGTCAGCCTTCATGAGGTACATAAACAGTCTACACCTATAGCAAGGGCATTATTCAGCTTTAGGTCTTAGGGCTTGTTTTTACCTACAGACACCCCTTATCTGCATAGGCAGTATTTTGGTAAATATATATATATATATATATATATATATATATATATATATATATATATAAATCTGCGCTAAAAGTCAGTCAAGCGCTGCACTGTATATGTATTAGTATTTTGGTAAAGGTGAACTAACCCTTTAAGAAAGGACCCTGCAAGGGCCCGAAATGTCAGTTTGTTATGAGACCTGTATTGGAACTCAGAGTACTGCTCAAAGCTAAGAGATGAGATGATTTCCTCTGGTCCTCAGTGATGAATGCAAGAAGACACACACCCAACCGCAGTGTGGATGTAGATATGGAACACCCTCAGTCAGCTCTCCTTTGCAAGCCATGACCACGTTTCGCCCCACCGGTGAGCGAGGTCAGACGCGTCACTGGCCATGGCCTGTGAAGAACTGTCTGAGACCGTCCCATATCTTCATCCACACTGCAGTCGGGCTGGGAGTGCGGCTTCTTAACAGTTTCCTATATGTTATGTGATGTGGTCTTCAGAATAAACACATGAAACTCATTTATTTGGAGTGTTGATGACTTTGCATCTTTGTATCTGGTCCTGGCATGACACCTTCTGTGGCATTCGAACATCCATCATTACAAGCTCAAGTACTGGAAGGAGTGCAGCTTCTATTTGGACATTACTTAATTGGCATTAATGTTGCTGCTTTTAAGTTGTTTTTTTATTTATAGGTCAAGATTACATTTAAATATGGAATGGATAAAAGGCAATAATGATCAGTAAAGTGCAACCAGCTAGTTTCCTTTTTAACTGAGAGCTGCCAAAAAAAATTCCTATTGTGCTTTATATATTATCTTTGCCTTTCCATGCTATACAGCACCCTATAATAAAAAACAAATGAAACCCAATGTAAATAGAGTGTTGGTCTAAAAGAAGCCTTAAACAGATTACAGTCTATTAGTAGCAGAACTTCTATCATGTAACAATTACACAGGTCACTTATGAAGGATTACATTTTGTAAACAAAAAGTAAGCATTTTTATCAGCCTTACATTATATCTGCAACACACACACACAGAAATGCAACTATCTTCAGTTCCTGAGTCCTGCCAAAACAATAATTATAATCTGTTTAGCAGTTACTGGAACACCAGATAATGCAGGAAAACAGTTGAGGTCACATGACCTAGAACAACTCAGTGACGCTTGTCTCGTACCTAGACTCTATTGACAATTGGTAGGTGGAAGATTTCCTATCTCCAGCCATTCTTCAACTCTGCTGCTTACCTTCCTTTAAAGTTCATGTATTCTTTATGGCTATCACATAGCTGGGTGCACTCCAGAACTAATCATCAGAGTCCGGTTATAAAGCAAAGTATATATTATACTTACCTAGGTGGATCCCCTCCCCCGGGTCTAAGTGTGAGAGTCTCTCTCTATATCGATCGCTGAGCAGTTGAGCCAGGTACCACTCCAGCCTCTAGGTATGGATCCCGACTTTAAAGTCAGAATCTTTCCTCAGCTTGGACTGGCTGAATGACAAACTACACTCCTGTGATCCACAGAAGTACAGCCAGTGCTTCTCCTTTAATGCCATAAAAAAAATACATTGCTACCTAAAAACTGAAAATGGTTAAAAATGTTGTGTTTGCCACTTTAATTTAGGCAAATCCTATTTCCAGAGGGTATACAATGAATATATTCAGCATTCACCTAGATCAGCATTTCTCAAGTAGGGTTCCATGAGAGGTCCCCAGGGGTTCTGCGATGATATACCTGTCAGTCGCAGGCAGCTGTCAGTACCTGTCAGTCGCAGGCAGCAGGTAGATTGCATGGACACATGCAGAGATAGGCAGGGAAGCGGCTGGCATACTATTGGCTGTAGCACACTGTGCCCTGACGGCCCCTCATCCCCTCCTGTTCATTCCGGGTTCTTGTTTTTGACATAATCTGGGATAGACAGGATAGGTGGAGGGGAGGGCAGGGAACAGTGTGCCACTGAGGGATTGCTGAAAGTCGCTTCTGAAGCCAGGTGGAAGGAAGCCGGTACAGTAATGTGCCCAACAGTCTGTCCCATACAATGTGACCTGTCCCATGTAATGAGCTCTGTGACCTGTCCCATGCAATGTTCCCTGTCCCATGTAATGTGCTCTGCGCCCTGATCCATGTAAAGGTGCCCTGTGACCTGTCCCATGTAATGAGCTCTGTGACCTGTCCCATGCAATGTTCCCTGTCCCATGTAATGTGCTCTGCGCCCTGATCCATGTAAAGGTGCCCTGTGACCTGTCCCATGTAATGAGCTCTGTGACCTGTCCCATGCAATGTCCCTGTCCCATGTAATGAGCTCTGTGACCTGTCCCATGTAATGTGCCCTGTCCCATCTAATGTGCCCTGTCCCATGTAATGTGCTCCGTGCCCTGACCTATGTAAGGTGCCCTGTTCACTGTCCCATGCAATGTGCTCTGCGCCCTGTCCCATGCTATGAGCCCTGTGCTCTGTACCATGCAATATGCCCTGCCTCCATGTAGTGTGCCTTGCTCCTACATAATGTCCCCTGTTCTTGTGTAATGTACCTTGCTCCCACATAATGTCCCCTATTCTTGTGTAATGTGCCTTGCTCCCACATAATGTGCCCTGCTTCCCCTTCATGTAGTGTACCCTCCTGAGCCCCTGTACCCTGCCTTGCACACACAGTTTATCCCAAGTTGGACCCAGAATGCAGCATCTCTGCAGAAAAATAAAGAACATGTTTCACATTAAATAGGTACATTTTAATAGTTTATCTTTTACTTAATGCGATTTCTAAAAATAATTGTTATTATAAACAGCTCGCTGATCATACCATTGTTTCGTGAGCTGTAGATGTGAACATTTCAGGGGTTCTTTTAGCCAGGAGTTCCTCGAAGGTAAAAAAGGTAGAAAAACATTGACCTAGATCATGAAAACCTGATTCACTAATGCTGCAGACCCACTGTTTGTATTGGTTAGCATTTACTAATAGTCACAAGCTTCATATTTCTCCTGTTAATTAAAAAGAAAAAAAAGGGGCATCTCCTAAAAACAAAAAAGTGATTATTATTTAAGAAATGTTTACATTTTTCAAATATTTTGTATATATTTAATCAGTCCCAAATGGTTGAATGCATTTAATACATATTGCTCAATCCTACAAAGGAGTATTAATTTAGCTTAGTATCAGTAATATTTATTTGAAGTAGGATATCATCACAAGCTTTCACTGTTTGTACGTTTTAGGATTCGTTCACACGAGCAGTTAGGGGAAGAAGAACATGAGGTTGCTCAGACACACCTAAAGAAAATACCAGCACCCAAGGAATCTGTAGTAAGTAGTGTAGAGATTTACTTTCACAACATTGTACCATTGTAGTTTTAGTGCCACACATGACTTTAACAGATGACATGTAAACTTCAAGCAGTGAAACCAATTTTTAAACCTACAGTAATTTCAACAGCACTTTTTTCAAGATTTAATTAATATATATTTTGAAGCAAATGTCATCAGTGCTAGTCATATTCCTTTGAAAAGCATGTTATAATCCTGTTTCAGCATATAAACTTTCGTGGTCTTGGCAGCCATCAATGTTTATCCCTTCCTTTAACTGTCATTGTTGCTAGCAGGAAAGTATAGAAGAACATAGAACAGAACCAGTACTCATGTTACTTATCAACTGTCATCTATCTTTAAAAAAAAAAAAAAATCCTCTGCTTTACATGCTCATAGAATGACCTTTATATTCATGAATAACTCAAAGACCTGAGAGCAGGGGCGGACTGACAACTCATGGGGCCCCCGGGCAATAGGGGATCATGGGGCCCCTGTGTCCTTGCCCAAACTCAAAAAAGCCTATGTTAAAAATACCAGGTGCATCTCATGGGGCCCCCTACTGACCCCGGGCCCTCGGGCAGTGCCTGAGTTTCCAAATGGTCAGTCCGCCCCTGCCTGAGAGTCAGATAATGAGCTACATACACAGTTTGACCATTTGTCCTGTAGCATGCGATTGGTTTTAGGTACATACACCAGGGGGAGCTGTAACCCCATTCATTGTATTAAAGTCTGTTGAAATAAATCATCACAAACTAAAAAAAAAGTTCCAAAACTAAATATTACTTTTACTACATCCTTTGAATACAATAGCTATCTTGCTGTAAATTTATTAAAGCAGAACTAAAAATGGTAAAAACGTTTTTTTTTCCCAAATTTGGAAAGCATAAGGGAGGGTTATAACCAATGTCAGGTTTTTTGTCATCTGTATTCCATTGAGATCGCCCTTCACTTTCTGTCCCATAGCCAAACCAGGAACTGAGAGGAAATCCCTGCAAAGTGTGGGAATCCCAGGATGTCAGGGCCCTCCTATTCCTTATGTACTGAACTTTATTATAATTGTACTGTCTCCCTTTAACTGTTGGTGCTACATAAATCCTGTATAATAATAACAATAATATCACCAGAGTCACCATTGGAAGATTTTCCCCTCTATTACTGTTTTGGTGTCAACTTAAAATTTGTGATTTTCTTTTACTTTTTATTTTCAATGAGAATGTTAAACAGGACAATCAGCAATAAAAGCTAATGCTTCTCTGCTCTATCCAAAACTATAAAAAAAAATTGCCTTTAGTTACATTTTAACCGCTTAAGAACTGCCTACTGTCTTTATTACAGGTGGGGGGCTCTGCTGCACTGGATCACACACATGCTCCAGCATTTACACGTACAGGAAGCGCGCACGCCCAATCTGTGCTAAGATTCAGCACAATGTAATAGAAAAGAAAAAAAAAAATGAAAAAATAAAAGAATTTTTTTTTAAACATACTGTCCCCAGTGTCCCTGATCACCAAAATCCACTTATATGACACTGTATTGAATTGGTGACAGAATGTAAAAAATAAATAAATTTTTTAAATGTCTTAATTTTCAAAAAAATCGGGACAAAAAAAATTACAACTTGTACTGTCCTGGCATTTTTGGGCCTCAACAAATGAGATCGACTGTCAGTACATCAGGATTGATCGATTTTCAGATATATACCATAGTTTGTGGACTGTATAACTTTCCTATACATTAAATAACATACACTGATTTGGGTTTTTTTCTTCCAAAGAAATGGAGCAGTATAGAGTTTGGCCTAAATTTATAAAGAAAGATTATTTTCAGAATTTTATAACAGAAACACATTTTTTTTTTAAATGTTTGGTCTTTTTTTCATTTACTTAGCAAAAAATAAAAAACCTAGTCGGTGAATAAACACCACTAAAAGAAAGCTCTATTTGTGTGAAAAACATGATAAATATGTGTATATGTATAAAACTGAGTAGGGGGGTGAAAGTGACCAGTACTGAAGTGGTTAAATAAGTATGCCCCATCACAAGAGGTGTATTCACAAAGTGATCCTAGGAGCGCATAACGGCTTACACAGTTGTCATTACTGAATCCTGTTATCGGAAACCCCAGTCGAAGCAGAATTTTGATGTATCCCACTGAATGGCTATTAGATTTGCCTGCCTTTGAAGATTATATGATTCACTTCAGGTCAGGAGAGCCCAGACCTCTCAGCTTATCTAATCACAAAACATCCAGTAATACTGGTTTGGTGCCTTGTGAAAGGAATACGAGGAATCTGTCACACAAAACAAGAAGCCTGTTATGCTCTTAATGTAAAACGGTTATTTATTTTGTTATCATGGTTATGAAATCAGGCTGCAGGAAAGTTAGGTATATGCCTTCTTTGTAGTACTGCAGCCTTATGCCAAAGTCTACTTCCCTGGAAGCATCCTGGAGGGAGCATCTGTCCCAACACCCCCCCCCCCCATTACAATCACCATATTCCAATCAACAATGGACGCCTAGGTTCTAAACGCCTCCTAGGTTCCCCTAGCCCTTGATCCAAGAAGTGAGCTGGCTCTGGGGAGAAGTTATACACTAATCAAAATGCACTGATGGAGAATGTCAATCTGGAGGATTGCTAGGCCGACTACATTTGCATTATGAGGAGAATGACAGGCGCCAGGTATAACAGTCAGTGTATGTGGTATAAAAGTTCCAAGTGGGCAGGGGTAGTCCAGTAGGCACTAAGGGCAAGCTGCGATGGAGCGAAGCATGACTGTACAGTAGAAGAAACAAAAGGAACACAACGCTCTAAGTGTGTACTGCAATAATATTTAATAAAATGATAAGTAGTAACTCACATCTTAAGAGTTTAAAAACAGGCTCATGTGGTGGAGAGGTAAAAAACGTCTGTAGCCAGATGTTAGGTGACTGTACCAGAAGAGATGGCCTAGGTCCGCCAGTAGATGGTGCTGTGTATGTGAAGCCCTGCCTGTGTGTGTCAAGCACTGAATGATGTAAGAGCACACCGGGCGAAGCTCGTCCTACGCATGCTCAGAAAAGCATCGCACATTGATGACATCAGATGCCGAACGTGACTGATCTCGGACATCTTGGAGACTCTGCCAGGCTTCACCACCTATGCTTCACATACACAGCACTATCTGCTGGCGGTCTTAAGCTATCTCCTTCTGGTACAGTCACCTAACATCTGGCTACAGACGTTTTACCTCTCCACATGAGCCTGTTTTTAAACTCTAAGATGATAGTTACTAATCTTCTTATTAAATATTATTGCAGTACACACTTGTGTTCCTTTGTTTTAACTGCATTTGCATGCATACCAACCTAAGTTCTAATGCACACAGTGAGAATCTCACAATGTGCGGTGAAGTAATTCTAGTATAGAAGAGCCTGTAAAACTGTGTAAGACTGAAGGTAAATGCTGGAGTTCAGCTTAAAACCATTATTTAAAATAAACTTGAATTTGGCAGAAGTATTGCTGGTATACACACCTAGCACTGATTGAAAACTAACATCAATATATGGTTGAACAGGTGCATGTAAGTACTGTTTTCCTATGACTGTGCCATACAGCAGTGTTTTTGAGTGCCCAGAGGGCATACAAAAGAAAAAAGGAGTGCATTTTATTCCTCTGCCTACTTATCTCTGCTTTAGGCTCAGGCCGGCCACAGATGGATCGACCCTCAGCTGGTTCAGCAAGGACCGGCTGAGATTTGATCTATCTATGGGCAGGCTGGTTGTACTGAAGTTGATCTATCGATTGACTTCAGTACAATTAGCCTGTTGTATTTGTTTTTACATGTGATTACTGCCGGTGGCTATAGCAGCCATGTCGTTATCCTGACGAAGCTACGCTTGAACGTAAGCGAAACGCGTTGACATCACAGAGCGTCGTGTGACTGCATCATAACACGCCCGGACACCATGGTGATTGATTATGTGGAGTAACAGCGGTTGCACGGTTATAGCCTCGAGTACCACGAGCTGCGAAAAGTCTCCCAGTGGGAATATGTGGGGAAGGTCTGCAGGGTGGTAAGACTGTATCTTAACACCACAGTGTGGGCTTATATGAATCGCAGTAACATCTCTTGGATACAGTGATATTGAGTGGATCCATTAAATACACGTATCACTGACATTCTGGCTCCCCTAATAAATGGATATAAGGGTAGAGCCACTAAGCCCTCTAACACTGTATCTAGGCTTGGCTCCCTCCTTGGATTGATATAAAGGTTGAGCAACAGTACCCTCCAGCATTGTATCGGAACAGACTTTATTCCTACTGTCCTAACCACACACTTATCCTTCCTCCAAGTGGGTAATCCCACATACCCTAACAAATGCAGACAGCTTCATGAAAGTGAATGTGGGATTATCAATTCTACCTCTGAATCACAGAGGGCAATGCTATGTGGCTGTTGACATTGTGGGTGAACTGCTGATTGGGACTCCTACATCCCCTGAATCTGCATGAATAGCTTGTTTCCACTGATTGGGACCCCTACATCCCCTGAATCTACATGAATAGCGTGTTTCTACTGATTGGGACCCCTACATCCCCTGAATCTGCATAAATAGTGCTTTTCCATGGATTGGGACACTTACATCCCCTAAATCTGCATGAATAGCGTAAGTGTCCCAATCCATGGAAAAGCACAATTTATGCAGATTCAGGGGATGTAGGGGTCCCAATCAGTAGAAACACGCTATTCATGTAGATTCAGGGGATGTAGGGGTCCCAATCAGTGGAAACAAGCTATTCATGCAGATTTAGGGGATGTAGGGGTCCCAATCAGTGGAAACAAGCTATTCATGCAGATTCAGGGGATGTAGTTGTCCCAATCAGTGGAAACACGCTATTCATGCAGATTTAGGGGAAGTGTTTCCACTGAATGGGACAACCACATCCCCTGAATTTGCATGAATAGTGTGTTTCCACTGATTGGGACACCTACATCCCCTGAATCTTCATGAATAGCCTGTTTCCACTAATTGGGACACCTACATCCCCTGAATCTGCATGAATAACCTGTTTCCACTGATTGATTGGGACACCTACTGCACATCCCCAGTATCTGCATGAATAGCTTGTTTCCACTGATTGGGACACCTACTGTACATCCCCAGAATCTGCATGAATAGCTTGTTTCCACTGATTGGGACACCTACATCCCCTGAATCTGCATGAATAACCTGTTTCCCACTGATTGGGACACCTACTGTACTTCCCCAGAATCTGCATGAATAGCTTGTTTCCACTGATTGGGACACCTACTGTATCCCCTGAAATCTGCATGAATAGCTTGTTTTCCACTGATTGGGACACCTACATCCCCTGAATCTGCATGAATAGCTTGTTTCCACTGATTGGGACACCTACATCCCCTGAATCTGCATGAATAGCTTGTTTCCACTGATTGGGACACCTACATCCCCTGAATCTGCATGAATAGCTTGTTTCCACTGATTGGGACACCTACATCCCCTGAATCTGCATGAATA